AAATCAAAAAACTGAAGTTTGGTTGCAAAACTAAAAAAAATAGTGCTAATGCTTAAATTTCCGTTAAACATATTATTAACGAATTGACTCTTGGATCCTCAGTACTTGTTTTAAAAATATAAAATTTGAAAAACATGCATTGCAGTAAAAATTATTCAGCGGCGCCGATGGTGTATTGGTAAGCGTGATTACCTCTCCCCCTAGCAGGCCTGGGTTCAATCCCAGTCGGCGCCGCCGGGATGTTCTGAGGCATAACATCTCTGATCACGCCTTCCTTCGGAAGGGAAGTAAAGCCGTTGGTCCCCGGTTCATGAGTTGACGGGTCGATAGGTAGAGTCAAGGTGTGGGAGTTGCCTCGCTGACGTCGATAGCATTGGTGCTCAGCACGAAAAACAAGATCGACGGAAAAAAAACCAAAGGAAAAATATAAAATAAAAACTATTTAGAATATTCTTTAAAAAAAAAACTATCAATGTTACTCCATTTTACGGTACTTAGAATAAAATCCAATGTCCCTCCTTTTTTGCATACTCAGCTCAAAAAATGCTTTCGAAGCCCCGTCCCATTCATACAAACGGCGGAGATCCTGTTAAAAGCAGGGTTAAGAAAATATTTTTTGTGGAGAGATAGCAAAAAAGAAGGGACTTTGGATGTGAATCTTAATGCATGTGTGAATCAGACATGTTTTGAAGTTTTAGGTACTCTATTTTGAAGTCTCTGCAAGGGATTTCTAGGATTATTGACTGCACTGTCCTTTGTAAACAAGTAACGGAAAGCAGATTATGCGTAATTTCCGACAGATGTTGCCACAAGCAATAGTAGGTACATCTTATTGATGCTGTGAAACGAACTTTTGGTCCAAGTTTCATTGAAAACCCTATTCAGATGTATATAATACAGTTTCTGTGCCTTCGAAGCAGTATTACCAGGGGGTGGAAACTAACGATTTTAAATTGATTCACTGCTTGAGTAGCCTATTGGTCCCAAGTACTTCTATGGCGTACCCCATTCTAGTTGAAATTCTATTATTACACTATGTTTGTTTTGATTCGCTGTGGATTTTGTGGATTCATGCAGAACATGCAGGGGTGAGTGAAATAGCTTGGGACTGCTTGGGATCGTTGTTCTGGTACTGAGTGAGCCAAAAATAATAATGATTTTCTTCGGGACCCAGTGGTCTTAGAGTTACCTCTATGGTATTACAGTGCTCGAATCAGTAGGTGTCAAAAGAGGGTGAACATGACAATCATCGAAAAGGTTTTTATTTTTCGTTGGTCAGGGTACAAAAAAAATATTAAAATGAATTTGAAAATCAAGACCGGAAAAACGGAACTTAAGTGGAGGTTGAAGGAATAAGGCTTCTCTGTACGAAAAAATCTCTATTCGATCTTTCCCGTTTAGATCGCAAAACATATCAGTTGAGCTTTTAAAGGAAGATTTATTTTGTGAATCAGAAGCTATGTTATCGAAAGTGAAATTGAAGCCAAGTATTTAAAAATACGAATATATAAAAAAAAAAGTTTGCGTGAGGTAATTTGGTGGAAATTCGCGGATATTGCGTGTCGGTGCTAACATAATTTCATTCAAAGTCGGCACCCGTAATCACGAAATTTGTTGGGAGATCTCGAGGAGATCTTCATACGAGGGCTAGCGAGAACTAACCTCGAATGGCACTCGGAGCCAAGTCCGTTGGTTAGCGAAGTGCTACGGATCAGACTGAGGGCCATCCACTGGTGGTATCCTTCGTCTCACGGTTGCGTACCGTTATGGAAACAATCGTGAGCGTGGTCATCGAAACGAAGTTCGGCCTCGTGAGCGCCACCCGTCATCACGTGGCTGTCAGAAGTCGCGAGTGTTCTGTTAAGGAAAGTCCACCACAGCAAGTCATCGCATAGGCTCACGTTTAGAGGAATAAATGTTCAATACCAGTCTAGATCAACACTTTCAAGCTCCTCTCCGTGGTCACCGGTGGTTTCGCAAGGTGGAAAACCGTATAGGATTCTCGGGCAAACACTTCGTAGCGTGGCAAAGGATCGCCAATCTACGTCATCGCTCGTTGGATTATGCTACCGGCGATTCAACGGTGTGACGGAGAGTCTGTCCTGGGTAAATCCGACATCGTATCGGTGCTCATCGTTCGTTGGATGACGATCCCGACAACTCAACGGTCGGACGGAAGGTAACCCACCTAACCAAAGCAAGCTGTACGTACCGGACTTCTCATACACGACACATACCACCAACAATAAGGGCAGATTAGGTCGACTCACGTACAGAGCGAAAGTATACATACATAACGTGACGTCTAAAGGAAGGAAGTTGGAGAGCATGAGGAGTCAGGTCATTCCTGTAGACCAGCGAAGATCGCTCCGGGAGCCCAGATGATTCTCTCTGACTCCATTTTTTTCCCCGTCAATTTTGTTTTACATACTGAGTACCAATGCTACCGACAGCTCTCACACCTGGACCCTACCTATTGACCCATCAACTCATGGACCGCGGACCAACGACCAGAGATTTTATGTCTCAGAAAATCCCAGGCCTTTTGGGGTGAGAGGCAATCACGCTTACCACTACACCACCGGCGCCGCTAACTCTCTGACTACTTAGCAGTGCGCAAAACAGTCAGGTTCAAGGAGTCATTTTCATATGAATATGAACTGCCATCTGTCTGAAGAGTCTGAATGATTGAGAAGTATATGGGTCACTGACAGCTGAGCACTTAGTCAGTAGCTCAGTCAGCACGTTTATTCTTCCGTGATGGTACCCAATCCTTGTTTTGAATGACTAAGCGTACATTTTCTATGGAAAAAATCCTCAATCACATGCTGTGTGAGCAAAGGCAAGCGGTGAGAGTTGTCTGTTCGTGAGTGACTGAATGTTTTTGTTGGCTCTTTCATTGCCTCGTTCTTTACCATTTGGTATAAACGGTATGGACAGAGCAATGGATTGAACAGTGCATTGCTTTCACACTCAGCCTAAGCAGTCTAACATTTTACGCTCTGCTCCTTAGACAGGAACCCAAGTAACTACGAAACCCGCTAACAGCCCGATGAGGGCCCTTTTTGCAATATAATGTTAATATAGGGCCTCCAAGTTTTATATCAGCCGTATGTCTGCTTTAAATTGTAAAAAGGGCCTTTATCGGGTTTGTTGTTACTTGGGAATAAGCCTCTAAAATTTTCAAAGTGAATATCAAATCAATTAGTTTTTTCATTAATTTTTAAAATTTGCTTTTTTATCGGTTTTATTGATAAGGTTTTTGATACATGAAATTTAATCTAGTAATTATTTCAGAGGAATTTGAGCAATCAATTATTTAGGATTGGAAGGAATAGATTAAGGACTATTAAATTTTGGGACTAGGGCATGTATTTGGTTTTTGGGAGCAAAAGATTCAGTTGGGTTGGGACAAATTGCTAGCTTATAGCAGAAGCTTGACTAAATGGCTAATCGCTTTGTTTTTGTCATCCAGACTTTTATGTTGGTCAAATGTTATCTACAAAGGCCAAAATTGATTTGTTTTATTGATGCAAATATCTTGAATACACAAAAAATTAAGACTAGAATATGTTTCTTGAACTCCTGGAGTAAAGTGTTTATAACATTAACCATTTGTTTTATTTAAATAGTGCTGTTAAGTAAAGTGACATCAATAGAAGCAAAAACACGTTTTTAAAAATATCCACAGGCATTTTGAACATACTTTTATGTGGATAGACGAGGGTTTCACACGATCTTTAGCAATACATACCAAGAAAATTGTAATGATAACAAAGTGTGCATTTACAAATTTCAAGATATTTTAATCAAATGTATGTGTTGGCCCAATGTAACCCCACATAAGGTTTTACATTTATCTAGTTATCAATTATTTCCATGACAGTCGTAAATATATTTTTGATGAATATATAATTACATGCTTTAAATTGTTTTCCTTCCTAAAATGTGAATGTTGTAAGGTAGGGAATGAAACGAAATTTTTTAGTGTAAATATATTGACTTCACGAAGAGAAACAGTTACTTAAATGAAAGATGTCTGAAATTATACAATCGCCCAAATCTCAGTAATAGAGATGAACTAGCCTTTGGTTAAAAATCTCTATAATGAAGACTTAAAAAAAAAATCGCAGTAGTTTGTCATTATAATTGTGTGAAACTATGTAGTACTACGAGACACTAGTATGTCTAAAAGCTCTGCAAATATCATGCAAACTGATTAAGAGCTACAAACGTTTTAGTGACAGAATTATTTTAGCTGAACTCTATTACTCTGACACGCACTGTAAATCGGGCCTAAACATACTCATTGTAACTAAAATACTACTTTTCGAAATTATGAAACTATGAGACATTATAATACTAATTTTTATATGTAAGATAAAAGAAGAGAAGGTAAAGTTTGTGCATGACACATTTTTTTAATCTTTATTATAAAGATTTTTAGTCGAAGGCTAGTTCATCTCTACTACTGAGATTTGGGCGATTGTATATTTTCAGACATCTTTCATTTAAGTAACTGTTTCTCTTCGTGAAGTCAATATATTTACACTAAAAAAATTCATTTCATTCCCTACCTTACAACATTCACATTTAAGGAAGGAAATCAATTTAAAGCATTTGAATATATTCATCAAAAATATATTTACGATTGTCTGGATATAATTGATAATTAGATAAATGTAAAACCTTATGTGGTGTGACATTGGGCCAATACATAAATTTGATTAAAATATCTTGAAAGATGTATTAAATATGTATTATTATTATAATATCACATAGTTTCATTATTTAGAAAAGCAGTATTTTAGCTGTAATGAGTATGTTCAGGCCTGCTGTACATAATGTAAAATTCTTACCACCTGTCTGCAAGATGGGGGCCCTCTCCAGTTTGAGGGCCCTGGCTTTAGCCCTACCGTAAATACGGCCCTGATTAGCAGCTTGCACTATAAATTGTCCACCCTGTGGCTATGGAAGCATCACTCATATCACCGTCAATAGTCTGGTCCAGTTCGAATCAAATTAGCAATCAATTATGAAGCTACTCGCGGTAATCATCGCATTCGCTGCCATTGTTCTGATCTCAACGACATCCGGTGAACCAAGCCCCCGGACCCTGCAGGATGATTTCGATGAGTTTGTCGAACTACTGCCGTTCGATAAAATCATAGACGTGGCATTGAAATACATCCTCACCGATAAGGAGGTCCAGGAAGCACTGCAGTACCTGCTGGGACCGGAGTTCTCCACCATCTGGGATCAAGTGTTTGCCCTCAAGGAAGTACGCGATGTGTTGGATTATTTGGAACAGGCAGGTGTTGATGCGTATGCATTCTTCAACGATTTGGCAGATCTGCTGGGTTTGAATCCGATCAAACCTGGTGTGTCGATGCGTCAATCGGTCAGCACTCGAGGTTTGAACAACTTGATTGATGATGTACTGGCTCAACTTCCGAAAGACGAACTGTTGGCTCTGTTTGAGCACAAGCTGGAAACCAGTGCTGAATTTAAGGCGTTCTTCGACAAGCTAAAAAGCACTGATTTTGAGAAACTGGTGGAGTTTGCTGGTGTAAGTGTTAAATGTATTTGAAAAAAGATTTGCTTACTTAACTATTGATTTCGATTCATCTACAGAATTCTACCGAGCTGCAATCATTGTTCCAAAAACTGCGAGATCATGGAGTCGATGTTGATAAGTTCTTTGAACTTGTTCAAGGATTCTTTGGGTGGGGCTTCTAGTAAATCTATGGTAGCTAAGTTAAGACTATAATATGAGACATTCTCAGGTAATAAAAAGTTTACCGTTACTAGTGTCGGACATTAATCCGTGGATGAAACGAGAAAGGTAATACAGCGATAGCCGGTGGTGTAGTGGTAAGCGTGACTGCCTCTCACTCTAAAAGGCCTGGGTTCAATCCAAGTCGGCTCCATCGGGATTTTCTGGGGCATAAAATCACTGATCATGCCTTCCTTAGCAAGGGAAGTAAATCCGTTGGTCCCCGGTCCATGAGTTGATGTGTCGTTCTTGGTTGCATATCTCATCAGATTCGGAGCGGTAGAACGATTCTTCATATTGAGAAATTATGGGTTTAGCAACAGAGTACATTCTATCGTGAATCAAAAGCTCGAGCGTCTTTGCTAAATAGCAAAGAATAGAAATGGGTCTGTAATTCTCAACGCTATGAATGGCCTTCCTTAGCTCAGTCGGTAAAGGCGCAGCTACAAAGCAAGACCATGCTGGAGGTGGCTGGGTTCAATTCCCAGTCCGGTCTAGGAATTTTTCAGGTTGGAAAATGTCTCGACTTCGCTGGGCATAGAAGTATGATTGGACTTGCCTCACAATTATACCAATGCAAAAATGGTACAGGCATCGATAGTTCTCAGTTAATAACTGTGGAAGTGCATCTAGAACACAAAGTTGAGAGCACGCTATAAGGAAATATGCGATATACAATAAGCTTGAAATGCGAAGAAGAAGAAGAAGAAAGATGAATGTTTCCGGCCTTGTGTATGGGTGTAACCGCAGACAACTTCCATGCGTCCGGGAAGACAGCTTCCAATAGTGAAAGGTTGAATAACCAACAAGCAGGTGCCCAATGGGACGAAATCAAAAATAGTGGGATATGACTGTTTGCACCGAAACTATTGAGTGTAGCATTTTGATGTCTTCCACAACGTTTCTTATTTTTTTAGTTCTTTAGTTGAGTAGTGAAAATTTGTGCTTAAGGGGGCTATACGCTCAGACAAAAAATATAACTTTGTTATGTCTTGTTAAAATTGATGAACATCTATGGAAACATTGTAGGTAAAGCCATTTTAAGAATTTTTTTTTCGAACACGAAAATGTTCTGTCTCTAAGTGGGCGAAGTTTAAGGGTGAAAATGGAGCAAAAACGGTTGTACATGAGCAGTGAGGAACATTGTGGTGCTTTATTTGAAAATTCATTAACCTTCCCTTTGGATCCCCTTAAGAATTGCATATTTAACAGTAGAGTATAAGTTGCTGGACGATATATCATTGAGATTAGCTGCTGATGCCACCCCTTTAAACATAAAGCTAAAAATTATAAAAAGGACTCAAATCCTTAAAACTAGGTTTCTTATTTTTGCACAAATGTGCATTTATAAAGCACTTTTCAGAACATTAAAAAAAAACATGGTGAAACAAAAAAGTTATGGCAAAAAAAAACACTTTTAAGTGGGTACTACCGTTTGTACTCCATTTTCACCCTATAACATCGTCCACTTGAGAGATAGAATTTTTTTGCCTTCTACAAATATTCTTAAATTACTTCATCTACATTTTTTTCCATAGATGAACATCAATTTTAAAGAGACATGAAAAATCATTTTTTTTTATCTGAGTGTATACCTCTCTTCAGCAAAAAATTTCACTTCGCAAATAAGGTACTCAAAATTTTTTTAATCATTCTGGAGGACACCAAAATGCTTACTTACCTTACCAATCAGACTAAGGCCTTGTTGTCCTCTGCTGTCCGAAGAAGTCGTTTCCACTCTACTCGATCCATCGCCACAGTTCGCCGGCCTCGTAGTCTGCGAAGGGTCATCTTCTACTGGGTCCACCTTGCCCACTGCGCGTCTCTTCTTCTTGTTCCTGTTGGGTCGCTTTCTAGAACCATTTTCACTGGGTCGTCGTGCGGCATTCTTACAACGTGCCCAGCCCACCGTAGTCGCCCAATTTTTGCAATGTGGACGATGGATGGTTCTCCCAGCAGCTACCAAAGCACCAAAATGCTACACTCAATAGTTTCGGTGCAAATAGCCATGAATCCACTGTGAAGTGGTTCGAGTACTTCAGCACATCGACGAATAAATACGGGAGATAGTTTATCCCATCCTGGACCATTTAATGGATCTACGGAGTTCAACGCATTGGTGACATCTTCTATGGTGAACGGTGAACTCGGGAAGCGTATATCGTCTGACGACAGGGAATTTAAAAATTCCGGAGAGTCTACCGGAGGGACAGCATTTGAAATATTCGGCAAAGAGTTCGATTGAACCTACGATGTTGTGACTCGTTCTGCCATAGAAAATCATTTCCGATGGGAATGGCTGAGCGACTTTCCTGCTTTTGAAAAAGGACCAGAAAGAAGAGAGATTCGGTTTTTCATTTGGACGGCCATTAGCACTAGTGTTGTACTTTCGTCAGTCAAAATTTATCCGTTTTTCGTATGTTCTAACGTGTATTTATGTCCGCATTGTGCAGCAAAACACTCGATAGTTAAAAATCTATCACCACTATTGAAGTGCAGTTGATCCGTTAAATTCTGACGTGGTTATTTGTCGAAAATACTTTTCGTCGCAGTGGATTGCTTTTTCTCAAGCGAAGACAGATATCGTGCTTTGTGTACCAACAATAGTGCAGTGTATTTGATCTCCTTATTGCCGCTGGTTTCTGTACCATCCACTACCAGAAAGAGATGGAGCGCAAACAATGTGGACAATGCAAATCGGACATCAACGATCTCGAGCCAGTGCAGTGTGGCTTCTGTGAAACGTTCTACCACATTAGCCAGCAATGTTGTGGCTTCAGCGGCAGAGCCAACAAAGATCTGTTCGCACAGGGAAAGGCGATGTTTGTTTGCCCCGTCTGCCGAGATGAGCTGAATGGTAAAAGCGTGCGGTCCTACATAGACGACAAATTGAAATCGCACGAGCCGTCGTCGCACAGTCTGCCAGACCAGGTTCAGCAGTTATCAACGTTGGTAGAAAGCCTGAGTCAAAAGGTGGATAGTATTGCAGCGGCTCAGAACCAGTCGACCCGTCCGCTGTCTGTCCGTAACCCATCTTCCTGGCCTAGGTTGGGTGCCAATCGCGGTCAGAAACAAGTTATCACTGCTAAAACTGATCGTGGAACGAATGCGATCGACCTCAGTGGGCTTTCGGTTGCATCACTTACACCCACTCCAGCTCCCCCAAAGTTTTGGCTCTATTTGTCTGGCTTTCAGCCGTTAGTCACAACGGACGACGTTCGAAAAATCGTCGCGCGATGCCTGAATGTGACTAACTCTTGCGATGTTGTTCGTCTAGTGCCGAGAGGAATGGATATCAAAAATATGTCGTTCATATCCTTCAAGATTGGACTAGATCCTTCCTTAAAGCAGCAATCTCTGCTTGCCACGACTTGGCCATCTGGTTTGCTGTTCAGGGAGTTCATCAACGAGCCAAAAAACCGGAAGAAGTCGAATGCGGACGAGGAAAGCGATTTAGGCGCAGATCCCGAGTCACCAACGGTATAGAATTCGGACGTTTTTCCGTGGACGGTGGGAACCCTCGGGTTCCCATCACAGGCGAGTATTGTCATTCTGCTTCTCGTATACCAGCACTCAATCGTTTTGCGTTGCAGCGTTTCCCCACCTCTCGTGACTCCAGACTCCCACTGACTCCAGACACCGAAGCTGCTGACTCAACAAACACCGAACCAGGACGCATCATGGAAAGCACTGTGGAAGCCCTCGATCTCGCCAGCCCGGTCCTGCCTATCGCTGCCAGCGCTCATCATAGTCGTCCCGGACCCGTGGTTGGATGTAGAGAGAGGGTCTTCCAGCCTGCTTCTTCAGGCAAGTACCATGCGAATGTGGAATTTCCTCTTCCTGAAGTGTCTTCCAATTCCAGCGGCCCTAGTTGCAACGTTCCATCTCCCACCTTGGCTCTCTCTCCTGTCATCGAGTCTGCTCTAGTTGGCAATGAAGAAGCAGTTAATGGTATGCGGTTCTACTACCAAAACGTGCGAGGACTACGAACCAAGGTGGATTCCTTCTTTCTTGTCGCAAGCGAGTGCGATTATGACGTTATAGTGCTGACCGAGACCTGGCTCGACGACCGTATATACAGTGCGCAACTATTCGGGGACACCTTTGCTGTATATCGCACTGATAGAAATGGCTCTAATAGTGCGAAGACCCGCGGAGGTGGTGTTTTGATTGCGGTTTCTACCCGTTGGAACAGCTATATCGACCCTTCACCCGTCAGCGATGGTTTGGAGCAACTGTGGGTTAGAGTGACTATGCCGAGCCGAGTTGTCAGCGTGGGCGTAATATACCTACCACCGGATCGTCGTAACGATAGCAGCAGCATACAAGACCACGTGGATTCCATCGGTGCCATTGTTGCTAACTTGGGATTCAATGATTTTGCTCTACTGCTTGGAGATTACAACCAGCCTGCTCTCCAATGGAGGAACTCAGACGATGGGTCTATGCAAGTTGAGCCTCAAACTGCTTTGATGTCTGCAAGCTCGGCGCTTATCGATGGCTTCTCTCTGCATAGCCTCACGCAGCTCAATGGTATATCGAACAGAAATGCTCGCTTCCTAGACCTTGTTCTGTCGAACGAAGCTGCAACTCCAGCATGTGTTGTTTCGGAGGCTGTTGAACCTCTGACCACACTAGATCCTGACCACCCTGCTCTGGATGTAATGATGCAACTTCCGCCGCAGGTCGTTTTTGAGGCGCGCACCGACGATTCTCGTACCTTCGATTTTAGACGAGCTGATTATGCTGAACTTAGCGCTGATATCTCCAGGGTCGACTGGCGACCAATAGAATTAGCTGACTGTGTTGACGATGCCGTCAATTACTTCAGGCAAACTATTTGCGATATCATGGCTGAATTTGTTCCTCTTTCACGACCTGCGCCGAAGCCCGCATGGTCTAATGGTCACCTGCGTCGATTGAAACGGTACAGGGCCAAAGCGTTACGAAGATACTGCCGAAATCGTTCATACATCACGAAGC